TTTTGTACCATTGTTGCAGTTGAGTGTTTGACTTACAGAGTAGGGTGACTAAGTACAGGCATAAGGATTGTTGTCGTGGGTTCACGGAGACGTGCGATAACATAGAGGGTCGACCCAGAGGTTGACATAGAGGCCTGGGAGGAATAGTCACAGGTAGTCAATAACTGTACTCGGTCAAGTTTATTGTCACACGGGTTTTGTCGTATACTGATCAGCTAAGGCGCTCAAACTTATACAATCATAACAATCCAACGATAATAACCTTATAAATCAAAGAGTTCCCAATCAAGCCAGAATTGTCCGTGATTAAATAAACCAATCATTTCCTTTCCACAAAGAGAATTGTGTATCCCAGTGTCCAATATTTCTGCAGTTTCTTCGTCTGTTTGTTCTGTTCTGTACTAGAGTAACAGGGCCTGGTAATCAGTATCCAACTGGGCGGTATATTTCCACCAAAACGAGCTTGCATCCCTGGGCCTAGAGGCTGCTCGAAAACTTCCCTAGGTTCGAGGCAGAAAACATAGTTTGGGGTTAGGGGAACTTTCACCTCAGTCGGTGAATGCCTTCCCTGACCTCTGGTTTCAATTGACCTCGGGAGATTCCGCCACAGTACTATAAAGGCTACTAATGCAAATAGTACGCCATAATAAAAGTTGAAAAACAATAACCTATACCCTTTTTTTAAAATATAATTCCAGGGGACAAGGGCAGAATCAGTCTGTTCTGAGTTCACATAATCCCGTGGATGAAAAAAAAACCCGCATACACATTTTCTTTCTTCCGAATAATGTTCAAGCTAAAATGACTGAGTTTCTTACCTTGTTTGTTGAGATTTTGCTGTGCGTGAACCTCAGCTATGGCAAAAAATGAAGTGTATATATCAATCGCACGTTACGCAGTGCACGGGCAACAAACATATAATGGAGTTCCGGCAAGTTTCGGCAACTCCAGACAACATCGGGCAGACCAAGATCAATGTCTAGGGTTCTCCAAACCTCGGCATATTTTCGGCTTCGGCTTCTGGAGCCTGTTTTAGGCTCCTGGTTTGTTGGTTTTCGATCAATGAATTGTCCACATCCTGCTTCGGGAATGTTAAATTCACACAAAGTATTCGCCACGATGGAGAGAAGGTTCATTTGGTTTGGACAAGTCGGAATAGTTTGAAGTAGGCGATGAAGTCGCCGAAGCTGGGAAGACAGAGCCGAGTTTTCGCAAACTACTGATCATCAACCGTTGCTAGTTCGCCAGAGAGCCACATATACTGCAAGTCAAATGTGTCAAATGCGCTTTTGAAGTAAGTGAGCAAAGTTCAAGCTAGACTCAGTTAATGTCACAGTTTATCGCAGTTTGAATACCATTTTCTGCACGATGATTGATCGATTGACTAGTGCATATGTGGGAGTCCCGATATAACAGGACACCGCCATTGTGTATGGCGTGTTTATCGTTTATCTCCATGACACCGCGCGCTATTGCGTGCGGAGGGACTGTCCCTGAATGAGAAATAATTTTGCGGAGAGCTCGAGTGGGCAATCGATGAGAAATTCAGACACATGTAGGAGAATGCTGTACGCTAATGTCACTGTCATGAACTCAGGAATGATAACCCTGCTTCCTATAATTTCGGGGGACTTAAGTTCCATCCAGGAAGTGAGTATTTATTAAGCTAAGATACATAGACCCACTTTACAGCTTTTTTTGTGTAAAGTTTGCAGCCACGTGAGGTATAACATGAAACTTTCTGCGTAGGCCACATGTACATGTACATGTGTTTAACCATGTAGTTCTATGTGTTTTTCACAGTACCGAATGTTCACCACTCCATGTACATGCATTGAGACATCCTAACATTTTGGACTGACTGACCCTGGGGTAAGGTTTTATATATATTTATTATTATTTTTGAAGACGATTATTGAACTAAGAGTGTGTCTAGAACCCAGATATTATTATGAAACTGTGTATTATGTAATAAATAGGCAATACTTATTTTTTTTGTTACAGGGTTTTGTTTTGGGGTTTTCTATTCCTACCTCTATGATTGACGTACCAAGCATCCGATTGGTAATAAACCGTGGTGATCGAGAAGTGATTGACTGGTGTCCAGTTTCATCCGTGTTTAATCAAGGACGGACCCCAGCCCTAGACTTATAATAGGGTAGACCACCACACATATACCAGCCGTCGAGTATGAAGGGCGCGCTTTTGTTCGACGAGATAGGCATAAGTTCTGAATGATACTTGCTGCTGAATAACATGCAATTCAATATAAATTGCACTCGAACGTTGTCATTAGCAATCCACGTACCTCAATACTGGTTACTGGTAAAGCAGACCTTCAAGTTTGGAAGAAATCCTTCGAAAACGTCTCCAAATCTATGTATTTATATCAATTTCTAGGAATGTACGAAAGTTGTCATTTCACGAGTAGTTGAACAATTATATCATCTAAGTATATTCCGAATTTCAGCTTAATCTGTTGGTGCTAAAGCTTGTGGTGCAGCTTAAAATATCTCTAAGGAAAATCTCGACGAGTATTTTTTTCGACCCAACCCACTTGCATGGTTTTCATAGCGCCGTAGGTCTTACGGTTGACCAATTTCGGCGTGTCACAGCTGTCACAAATTGATGCTGTTTTTACCCCAGACACCGCATACAAAAACAAACGCTAATGTAACGCACATACAGGCACCAGACTATTCCTCATTTGCATACGTGTTCAAAAATCTTGCACTTGCAAAATAATGATCCAAACCAGGATGAGAGGGCAGGTAGTGGTGGGCGCGTACTGCTCGACACCCTGCGGACGAGGTTGTCGTAGGTCAGGTAGCCACTAGCGCTGCGCGCGGACTATATAATACGTCACAAGTTTCGGAAAAAGGAGGAACGCATCCCTTTTCCGAAAATGACCGAAGTTTGCCGAATGTATTTCAAGGACAATCTCAGATAGCACTCGTGTATTTCTGGGTATAAAAAGGTTTTATTTGAGTTCCTTGCTTTTAAAAAATTTAGAAATTAAGTTGATAATTAATATTCATAAACTGCATCAAGAAACTTAAAATTCAATGACGATTTCTTACATCAACATAACAATAGTACGCTCTAACTGACCTGCTAAATATTTCGTTGAACTCATCTCGGTTTAACTACAAACACAATTTGGATGGTGAACTAAAATATCGATCCCACCGCTGCCACCAAAAACTGTAACGAGGAGATATTTTCTGATTGGTCAATATTATTATAAACACATGCCGTCTGTTGTCTAGGTCTACCTTTGAAAATCAGTGCGAGAATTGACGGCCTGGTATTTCTTCAGTGATCTTTAACCTGGGGCACATCTACGTTTGACTGGGGGCTGGGGGTATACACCATCTTTTCCCGAAGAAAAGATTACTTGCAAGCGAAAACTCAAACTAAGATAAGCGCAAATGACGATGCAATAACACAGATTGTATTCAATGAAATTTGTTAAACGGTTTTCGGGTATAAAACAGAGGAAATTCCAGCAATGATAGAATCATAAAAATAATACACGGTGGCAAAATACAGGCTTGAACTCAGCTTACTCATTGAAAGTTATTTCAGTTTTTAAAACATCTCTTGCCTACAACGACATCTTGGCCTATAACATTGAGATACAGTACATCTTTAATAAAACGGTAAATGTTAAAAACTGACTACATGTGTAATACATATCGGAATAAATGTGTGCTTGGCCGGTTTTATACACGTTGATATTAAATGACCCGAGCGGAAGGCGAGCTGGTCATAATCAGCGTCCAGACTCCAAACCGGTCTTAAACATAAAATGTTTAACCGGCCAAGCACATATTTATTCCCATTCATAAATACCTTTTCGGTCAAACAGTAACAACAAGACAAAAAGTATAAATTTCCAACGATTCTGTTCAACAAGTTTATTTCATGATTTTTGAAACACCCCTCTGGCTATGTTATGGTATGTGCCTCTCGTGAGTAGTCATAAACAACTCCTTATATGGAGATTGGCGCGCGCGTTCCGCGTACTGTGCGATGTGGCGCAGAACGCAGCTGTGCCGGTGTTACTGGTATTATTGCGCATGCCTATTAAACCGAGGAAAGTGAGTCCAAATTGTATGTGACACCAGAAAAGTGTTTAAGACCAGCCAGCCGGTGTTTTATCATCCGTTTAAGACCGGCCACGTGACGGTCTCTCGACCAATAGTAATGGGTAAGCTGTCTGAGGTATTTATAAATAAAAATGAATACGTAAACTACACGACTCCCGTTTTCTTAGAAATCAACAAGCTCCCTTATGTGATATTTAACAATGTCAGTGTCACCTCGTCCAAATTGTCGGTTGGTGTAATAGCGAGATTCTGTCCCCCACAATAGGCATACCATTAGACTCATTCATTTAGTTACGTCACTGATCAACAAAGCTTATACTAAAACCACTTGTCTATATTTTGTGATAGAGTACCGAAGGGCGCCGCATATTTTGTTCCACGCGCACAGCTGAAGTGTGTGAAGACATCAGCTGCGAACCAGAGTGAACCAGAACAATGACAGCTGACGTCACACTTCGGTGCTCTGTAGCAACATAACTGTACAAATTGACAAACTACTTAGCCGTTTCATCGCAATGACCTGTCATAATACCCCACGTTCGATGTGTTTGTTTACAAGACGGCTGCAACAGTTTCCCTTACTTTAATCACTGATCCCGAACACAAGGAGTAACGACTCTGCCAAACTCTTGGTTAGACGCGTGATATTAAACGGCCCGCACAGGTTTTTTTCTATATTTTTGAATATTCATGATCCTACGTTTTTGGCCTTTATTATGGAATTCTGATAAGTGATAACTACATATTAACCATGTTAATGCCGAGCACTATATCTTTAGCTTTAAAATGAACTATGAAATGTCACTTTTATTTCATCGGTTCGGGACCACATCTCTCAAAAACTTTTTAATGAAAGCCTAATTAAAAACGAAACTTGGGTAAACGGTGTTCTCCTCGAAAGTTGACGTTTATTTCCCGGGTAAATACTTCATCTATGACGAAAAAACCTGCACAATAGCATCTGTATATCCTGAAGTATTTATACTTTTAAACAATTTTGGAACATTTATATCTTACATAAGGAGTAGTTTTGCTTTCAGTTTTATGAAAGTTTTATGAAAGTTTCCGTTTCGCGTCTAACCAATTAAGGCAAGTCCGCTCAGTACATTTTGTACTAGAGCTCAGAACAGTCGTTTATCCTTGTGTGTAGGATCCGTGCTTTAATAAAGCATGTTTAACCTATTTGGACGACTACCGACACAAAAGCTGACTACCGACGCCGAAACACACAAAAGGCAATATCGTTGTGGTTGGCGTCCTACTTTGGGCCAACAGGCCATACCTAGTCGGCATCAGAACCGACTGCCAAAGCCACGGTTGATATGTCTTCCGTATGTTCCTTGAATAATAAAACAATTTACATTAATATTCCATACGTTAATGCAAGACCAAGCCACCATCACAGCTTCAAAACAGAGATACACGAACAAGGACACCGTGGTGCTAAGCGTCTATTTTCAGGCCAAAAGTTCACTTTGAGAACCATCCAAAGCATGTTGACCCACCCAAAGCCACTGCAACGGAGCAACTCCAGTTAACAGTCCCTGCTTATATCAGAAGCCAAGCAGCCACAACCACAAACACAGAAACACATATAGCAATGACAATGACGTGATGGCTTGCTTCTTCTTTTGGGCCAATGGGTCTTGTCTTCATTGGCTTCAGGACCCGATCCCAAACCGTGTTGATGGCCTTCCGGGCTTCACCATTCTTCCCAGGACCCACCAATCGAAACTGGTATGGCACTAGGGGTCCGAACAAGCACCGGAGAGTCAGCACGGGATCGGTGAAGAAGAGCTTCAGGAAATTCGGCTCGACTCCGATCTCAGACGCCAGATTGATGCAGTAGGCTTGGGGATCAATGTGTCGGTGGTTAGGTAAAAATTCAAGCTTCATGGCTTCGTCGGTCGCCTTCACCTCAGCCTCCATATCCGGCTGGGATGGTAGCTCAGCCAACCCTTTGAAAACCCTCGTAGCCCAGCGAGCCTGCAGCTCGATGCACGGGATGACTGCGCCTAAGGGTCTGATGGCTCCGTTGAGCGACAGCGTATTGTGCTTTAGACCTAAAGGAAACACCAACTTGTACAGCGGCAGGCGGCCATCTTTTATTTGCAGTGATTGGCAGTCATCAACCTCCAAGGGCAGCGTGTCCTTGTATCCGGTGGCTAAGATGACGGCAGCGATGTCCTCCTCGGTGGTACCGTCTTCAAACACCACGCCCGTCTTAGTGAAGCTTGCGATGTTTGCCTTGATAATCACAGTGCCGTTGAAGATACAGCCCGGGAGGTCCTCAGTAATAAGTGGATCGCAGGCCGTCAGACTGTGAGCCGGCATCAAAGAATGATAAAACATCTCAAACTGACGCTTGAGGGATTTCGTATAAAGATTCAAGAATAGGCTCGCTGGGATCCCGTACCATCTTCTGAAAAACTGAAGATCCCATGGCATACCGTAGTCTCCAATGCGACTTGTAATCCATGCGCCACGTTTGGTGCTCAGGTACACCTGTTGCGTTGATATAAAAGAAACTAGTTAACTTCGAAATAATGATGACCATCGGCTCATGCTCAATGTTGAGCACGATGAAAGAAAGAATTCCTGTCCCGAAACGTAGACACTTATTAAACTAAACCCTAATTACTAAACCCTTAACAAGTAAATTGTACTATGAACTTTCATCCCAGCATGTGAAAGTTTGACCTAATATTAAATCTTATTTTAACAGCTGGAGGAGATTTACAGCGTTCCTACCTGTGATGCCTGACGGCTGATGTCTGTAGCTGCATCTGCTGCTGAATCACCAATCCCAACCACCACCACTCGCTTGCCTTCGAATTCCTCCGGCCTCCGGAAAGCCTGGCTGTGAAAAATCTTCCCTTGGAACCCCTCAAGGCCAGGAAACTCTGGGATGTTAGGGTTGTTGAGCATCCCAGTGCAGATCATCACAGTATCAAACTCCTGGCTAGTCTGTCTTGCCGCTCCCTCCGCTTGGGTAGTGACGACCCATCGCCCAGTAGACTCGTAGTCTGGCGCCTGGGCCAAGCGGGTCACTCTAGTCGAGAAGCGGATGTGCTTCTTGAGGCCAAACTTGTCGGCGTACATGTCCAGGTACCTCTTCATGTAGCTGTTGTGGAGAAAATTTGGCCACTCGTCGGGAAACAGGAAGTCGCTGAAGCTCATGCTCTCTTTGCTGGTGTTGGTGGTGGTCGACCTGTAGACCGAGGTCGTTACCTCGTGTTTGCTGTTTTCGCGATAGTTCCAAAGACCACCCAAGTCATCTGACCTCTCAAAGCAAGTTGGCTGAAGGCCTTCGTCAAGGCAGCACTTGACTGCTGCTAGGCCAGAAACCCCACAGCCGATAACGGCAACTGTCTTTCTGCTGTCTCCCATCTGTAAAGTCAATGAGTAGCATTTGGTCAGGTATGTTGACGAGAATAAGATCAGGGATTTAACATTTGGACAGAACCATGGATCCGATTCCGAATTCTGAACTGTTCCTCGTGTGTTTAATACGCAAACGTAACTTTGTGTTTCAGTTTCGATGTACAATTTTGAAACATCTGAGGTCAGACTCCCACTGAATGCGTATTTCCAGAAGATTCTGAACAAATTTTTAATAGAGATCGTACAAAATTACATTTTCGTGCTTGGTGATGCTCTGTTTTTAATACACATTTCATGAAGTATAGGTTTTCCCTGCAATTTAAAACGTTTATCATTCGAATTCACTGTTTCTAATATTCAAATTCGTCGAGCAACATCGATTTAGTGCACTTCCGATGTTTAATTAGGTCTTTTGTCAGACAATTTGAACTGCAGTTCAAGCAAATTCAAACAATGAGCATACGTTTTCGTCCCGGAATATTCGATTTCGTCTCGTCTACGCCAACCCTTGTTATTCAGAAATCAAATTCGTCTAATTGATTTATATATATATTAGACGAATTCGATCCCTGAATGCTGCCATTATGCAACAGCTTAGACGAATTGTATCTGTAATGACGAATATTCTCGACCCGGTGACTAAAGAGGGTGACCAAACTTTAAAATTGAATGGTAAATGACTACATTGGTTTTGTTAAAAGCGTGTGACATTTTTCGTGGATGATATTGAATGTGAGAGTTGGTGAATTTGAATGAAAAAGCTTTTAAAATAGCCGGGAAAACCTATATTAATTTGCTTTTCGCGCATTTTTGTTTTGTGTGAAGCAACAAAATTGCTGTAAATCGTTATAAGAAGGGCGCATAACAAGGTACGCTGTTAAAGTTTCGGCTAAAGTAGATACCATACGTTTTGCATCATCAAAGGCACAATTCCCCCAAATATACAGTACATGTGTCCTAATTGATTTCTACTATACTCCGTCGTGGTACAATGTACATACAGAAGGAGTCCATATGGGCTCCGTGCGCTAACAAAAGAGGGCGCGTTTTTACCTCTTTTGAGAGCTCCGTGGATGGGACACACAGCGTGAGCGTACTGTACTGTACTGGTTCGCGCTCGATGTATGCGCGACTTCCTAAAATGTGCAAAAGCTATAGCCACCGCGTCTTCGCGTGAGCGTCAGGCGCACTGATCTCTATATAAAGACTGGATAGCGGATATGCATACAACATTCACACAGTAGACTTTGCATATTGACTAATTCGCCCCCGGTCTCACGAAGATGGCCGCGTATAATACGAACGTTCTACGCGTACATACAGCGCGCGTTGTATCAACAGTTGATGCGCATTTTGGTCACGTACACATATTATGATGTTCTAAAAGGAACACATTTCCGTAGTGATTATTATTTCAAAAACGCCGAAAAAGTGATTTGCGGCATTATAAAAGTAACCACTACGTTAGAAAAATTGTGGTAAACCTTGGTCAGTTGGTCAGTGGTGGTGGCCAAAATATAAGTCAAGTGAGCCGCGACGTTACAAAAGAAATCAAGCTGTCTATAAAGACGGCAACTTGTCCTTTGTAGATCACCAGCCGGTCTCACCAATATGGCGTCAAATTCGTACATTGTGCGGCTCTTTATTAGCTATCCAGTCTTTATATAGAGATCAGTGGTCAGGCGTCGCGTTACGTCAGCGCGCGAAAACGTTCGAATTCAACTTGTGATGGTCTCCGAGACTAATCCCCGCCTCCAATAACTTTGGATACATTCCAAATACGCTGTGGATGGATCAGGATCCAGTCTAGGTCACCTCAACTCTCTTTTTCTGGCCGTTGATGGGGTACTTGTGCACGGAGCCCATAGGCCAGCCCACTTGACAACCCAATAATTCTAGTCATTCTAATATTTGCCAAATGTTGCTGAAGTCATTTTGAATAACCAGATGAATGAGATTTCCCCTCAAAAGCACATAAATAAGCTATATATTGCCTAAAGATTGCTTATTTCTTCACTCAGATCATTTTACGATTGTGAAGGTTAAACAAATACTAAAACAGGAGAATTCAAAATTCCATTTTACATGCAATAATAAAAAATATGATTAGAAAGAAATAAGCGAAATATTTGAAATCGAACAATAAAGGATTAGACTGAAGAAACTCATTCAGGAACCGTTTATATACGCGTTAAAGGAAAACTCAAAAGTGCATAAAAATACACACACGGGACCATGTAGGTTTGCCTATTATGCAATGTACAATAAGCAGTTTCGCAGTTGCTGTGTATGTGTACGCAACGTCAATCGAATCGCACATGTGCAGACTAGTTAAAAGGCCCACAATTTCCCACGCCGGCCTAATCAAGATTTGCATAAAAGCATTTTGTGGAGCATTAATGAGGGTTTGCAAAAAACAAAAGCACAGGACTGTCAGCTTGTGTTTTTGTGACATTCGGATGAAATGGGGCCATAATAGCTTATTTTCAAAATGGCGACGGGCTTCAGGACTATTTTTGTGGTGATCATCTTCGGATGGAAATTTCTCCCACAAGTCATCGAATTACCCAAAACAAATTGTTCAAAAAAATGACAGATGATGAAATAAGCTTAAATTTGATGCACGTCTTGAACACCTCAGAGAGTTGTGAGTACATGTATTTTTTATAATAATTTAGGTGCGCGTAATTACCACTTTATAGGTCTGTGGCAGTCTACTGGTCTGCACCCTTATTGCAGTTCGCCCACTACCGGGTGTTTCAAAAAAAAAAAAGGAAACCCAACTTCAAAGAATGAGTATCGGACAGACGATATGTTTACTGGCTATAAAACTGGTATCATCTGAAAGCGTAATCTCTATGCTTTTCAATGAAACTATGTTTAGGTTTTCTGAGTCATGCAACAGTCAGCATCATTGTCTTGAAAACTGGGTGCAAAAATGCAGTTGGTTCATTTCCTTAAAAAAATAAAACCTCTGGGCACGGTGTGCCTATTGTTACGGAACTGTCTGTGAAATGGCTTGAATGTTAATCCTCGGGAAAATGGCACATTGTTTTGAACGTGGCTTGGTCAAAACGAGAAATTCATGACAAACAATAAAATCCAGTTTTGAATCCAACTCAACTTGTTTTTTGTTTTGTTTCTTTTTATGCACTCGTGTCCTCTTCTTGAATACTTATTCTCATGCACACCATGCCTATTGTGTTTGACATGAAAGTGAACCAACTGCAATTTTGCATCAAAACCCCATGACAGTGACCCTGGAAATGGAAACAATTAAGGTATCATTGAAAAGCATAAAGATTACGCTTTCAGATGATACCAGCTTTATAGCCTGTAAACATTTAGTCTGTGCATACTGGTTCTTCAAGTTGGGTTTCCTTTTTATTGAAACACCCTGTATAGTGCACAAGATATGATAACAGTTCACACGTATCAACCAAGACAGAAAATACATTACTCTTTGTGTGGCAAAATGCTCCATTTACACAATCCCGGACATGCACTTTCCCCAAAGGTATGTCAAATAAACTTACTGTCAGTATTCAGCTATAAAGAACAGCCTGAGTTTTCAGAACTGCTGAATATTCTGGCTGCAATGTGAGCTGTAACCTTCGAAAACCTCGGCAGGTCGCATACAATAATTGTATCACCATAGATTCTCACTGCCGACATGCTTGTACAGTACGCGTATACGTAAAACACATCCCTCCGTCGCGGACTAATCTCAATTTAATTTAGAATCAGCTGACAACTATCACTTTACCCTCGGGTATTTCTCATAAAGGAACCAATGATATCACTTATATATGCACCCAAACCTTATAATTAGTTATACCAACATGCTTGAGGGACTGATCATTATGAAACAATAAGGAACTATTTTGAGGGACGCGTATGCAACTCATGCATAATTCGGTGTGTGCCTATTCGGCCGCGTACGTACGACTTATTTGCAATGGCTACCGGTACATATGCTGAAGCCTATTTGCGAACGCGGCCTCTAATGCAAATGATCCTGCCTTTTTATTAGCATGGAGCGCAAGCTAGGTCATCACGTACGTACTAAAACATCAACTTCCCAATCCTTGACCTATTGTAACATGTTCAGTGATCCATGATCAGAAACCACGTAGCAATTATAGTTACCTGATCTGTCCCATATCTAGCTGGGTATAATGCATGCAGTGACATGTAGATTTCTCGCTGCTCTAGTCACGCATGCATATGGCGCCAGTACCCAACAAATTTCGAAACCCAAAAATGCTATAAAAAAATAATACACTGTAAAAATATGTGAAATGTCATATGCTATTATCGGTACGCCTTCTTTCTTTTGCAGCCAAATTGACAATCTATACCAGCTAATGTGTTTGTTGAATTACTTATTAGGGCAACAACCTGAAGAGATGTATGGGGTGGTCTTCAAAAATAATTACAAACTTCTTCCCTTGAAGACTGATGAAGTTAAAAGTTTAAACATGCATGCCACGTCCTGCAGCCAGTGCACTCAGGTATATAGCTTACCTGTGTAAGCCTACCTGGGGAATATAACGATTTTTTAAGGTTGAGAAATGTGTAAAACTAATCGAGATTGAACACAGTATAAATATGATGTCCCCGTGCTCTTCCATCCAGATATGTCTTATTTTCAGGAACAACTTTGACCCTTTTATACTATTATGTTTTTATACTTAGCGTATTTTTCGTTCATCTTGTAACAGTGCTGACCTGGCCCTGAACCCTACTCCATACACTACGGTCAAACTCCCATGAATCACCCCAATTAACTTACCCTGGGAGCTAGCCCGAAAGCCCGGATTGAAATTGTATGCACTTGTTATGTATTGTACATGCCAATGAAAGCTAGATGACCGTTTTATACGTGTACGGTCCTGGTACGTGAACTTTAGGCCTGACCCTTCAGACTGAAATGCTAATGCACGTTGCTCTTACAACCGTACACTGTGAGTTTGAGCGGGAATTGTATAACAGACTGAAGCAGTATTATTTATGCCTTTAACGTCTAACTCAAATTTGCGCCAGTTTTAGTTGAGAGAAAATCAACTCAGATCTATAAATTAGAATTTACCCCAGGTAACAAGTTCACGGTTGTTGGCTCGGGTATCTCAATACAATATTGTTACATTTTGATTAATTCATCAAATTGAAAAAAAAAAATACATAGGCCTACTGGCCCATAGTACACAAATCAAAAGTCTTCTCGATATATGTATACACTTCCAAACATTTTGCCTTTTGCTAAATAAACAATATCTGTTATATTTAAAATTATAACTAACTTTCCAACCTATCACGTTGTTTAAAAGGTTTGCAGACTTCCAAAACGGAAATTACAAGGAGGGTACTTTTGGTTCGAATAAAATATACACGATGAATTTTTTAAATTGGGAAAAAAATTGAATCTGTTGAAGAGCACGTACGTGGGATGAACGAAGCCTCCCCCAGCTTAAATTTACTGAGAAAAAAATTGAGCCACTTAAAAAAATACCCATGTTGTATCCCCGACCCATACACTGGATACGGTATTTGTATTGGGCCTTTGTGTGTGACGTCAGGTGATCAACGATGAGGTCGTGAACCAGAACCACACAAAGACCCCCCCCCCAAAAAAAAACCAGGTTCATTTAGTTGTGCTTCAGCAATTGTGATCAATTCCATTAAATCGCGTAACAAATGGTCCGCCGGGTCAGGCACCGGTTGCTTTGAAAGCCTATACAAATATCGAATACTGGTTTATTGTGTTGTCGCACGCAGGGATGCAATAAAAATTGTAAAGCTTGAACTCTCTTTGCCCTGAATATTTGGAAACAAAGCAAACACACCGACAGGCATCTTTTTAAAAATGCATACAAGCTCATATAGCCTGTTTATTACTAGTACAAATTTACTACAGGGTGGATAAAAAAAAAACCCAAACCGAGATATTTTTGCTTATTTGAACAGAAGTAGAGCACATGTGAATCAAAGGGAGATATCCTCTGTTAGGGTTGAATCTCCTCTTTGAAATGACACCCTGATCATGTCATTACATTCATGGTTGACTGAGCAGTGACCAATTTATGAAAGGGTCTATTTAGAGAATTGCCATTTCCAAAAGTTCATGCGATGTCATGCAGGCACCTGAATGTAATACAGAACATATTTGATTACCAAAGAGCGCAAGATTTTTTTTAAGTAACTTGAATTTCACACGAAACAATTTCATTAATCTTAAGAAGAATCGTCCAGTTGCAGTTTTAATATGCGCATAATTATTTTGATAAAAGATCCGTTGCCCAAGCAACTTTCGAGTTTCACTCCGAAAGTTTATTTCCTTTTTTTCAGTTGCTATTTTCCTACGAAATACAAGTTATTCATTTTTGAATTAGACATCTACCGATAAAAATCATAAACGTCTATGAATTATTTCTTCACAACATTCAAGTTATTACCTGCTAGAAATTTAGGCCGAGTAAAAAAAAATAGTTTCTCGTCCGGGGTTTTTGAAAAAAAGGGAGGAAGCGGGGCTTTGTATTTTTTATTTTTTATTTTTTTCAAGATGACCGCCTTTTCAAAATGTCCTGCAACCGTTGGTGTTCCACTGTTCAAAGACACTTTTAAAGATGAAAGACAAGTTGTTTGGACAAGAGAACTGAACATGTTTACAGTGTCATTTAGAGTTGTATTGGTATTGGTATTTATTTTCCGATGACTTTTTCGTTGTGTTTCTACTACATTTTTCAAAAATAAAAAATACTTAAAAAATCCAGGCGGCCTCCAAAAAAGGAAGCGGGCGGGGACGAGAAACTTGTTTGTTTTTTTTACTTCGCCTTATTCGGCTCTCGCCAGGGAGGTTAACGCAATTTTTTATTTTTTTTTGAGAGAGAGAGAGCACGGGGCACGCATCTTTTTTGGCGCATGACTCGACAAGAATGACTTTGTTAAGGCGGACGTGGTTACTGGTAGTCAAGTGTGATATAAAATGCCGAGTTGGATACCTTTGGCTATGCATGCATTGGGTTCACGGTCTAAAATGTTACAGTATAAATACATTTCATGAATGCATAAATTGAATGAATATAGGTGTCTGGTGAACATGGGGAATTCACTTAACACATTTCGACCAAGGTGTATTTTTAACATATTTGAAAAGTTAATTTCACCAGCTTACAGAGATGCATGTATAACAGGTTTGTTGAATAACTTAGGGCAATAACCTTGAAGAGATGTAGGGGTGGTCTTCAAAAATAATTACAAACTTCTTCCCTTGAAGACTGATGAAGTTAAAAGTTAAACATGCCACATCCTGCAGCCCGTGCACTCAGGTATATATAGCTTACTAGTCTATATGGCTTACTAGGGGCTAGACGTTGTTCTTGTTTGCTTCGCCGATAACCGGCCACCGCTATAACCGGCCACCGCGAGAGGGCGCTATCACGACCAACCAATATCACCATAGACATAAAGAACCTTTATGTCTGTGAATATCACCCACGAACCTGTCGTGATAGCGCCCTCTCGCGGTGGCCGGTTATAGCGGTGGCCGGTTATCGGCGTAGCAAACAAGAACAACGTCTAGCCCCTAGACTAATAGCTTACCTGTGTAAGCCTACCTGGGGGTTATAACGATTTGTTAAGGTTGAGAAATATGTAAAACTAATCGAGTTTGAACACAGTATAAATATGATGTCCCCGTGCTCTTCCACCCAAATATGTCTTATTTTCAGGAACAACTTTGACCCTTTTATACTATTATGCTTTTATACTTCGCGTATTTTTCGTTCATCTTGCAACAATGCTGACCTGGCCCTGAACCCTACTCCATACACTATGGTAAAACCCCCATAAATCACGCCAAACCCTGGGAGCTATAGCCCGAAAGTCCAGATTGATACACTTATGTACATGCCAATGAAAGCCAGATGACCGTTTATACGTGTACGGTCATGGTACGTGAACTTTAGGCCTGACCCTTCAGACTGAAATGCTAATGTACGTTGCTCTTACAACCGTACTGTGACTTTGAGCGGGAATTTTATAACAGACTGAAGCAGTATTATTTATGCCTTTAACGTCTAACTCCAATTTGCGCCAGCTTTAGTTGAGAGAAAATCAACTCAGATCTATAAATTAAAATATACCCCAGGTAACAAGTTCACGGTTGTTGGCTCGGCCGGGTATCTCAAAACAATATTGATACATTTTGATTAATTCATCAAATTGAAAAAAAAATACATAGGCCTTCTGGCCTATAGTACACAAATCAAAAGTCTTCTCGATTATGTATACACTTCCAAACATTTTGCCATTTGCTAAAACAATATCTGTTATATCTAAAATTATAACTATCGAACAATTAGCTTTCCAACCTATCACGTTGTTTAAAAGGTCTAACGTGTCTCACATGAATTCGAGTAAATCTGATCCACATGTATATTCATTTCCTTGGAAAAGAATATCAAGATTTTTTTATTATTAAAACAAAAACCAGAAGACTTGAACGTTTGTTTCAGTGTATGGTCCTCCAAAACTGTTTGCATTGACGAGCCTCTAATCTCAATTGAGGCACAGATTTTCACTCTTAATCTACATTAATTCTGATCGAGTCTGAAGAAAATTTTCAACATTTATAAAAAAAAACACAAAGATGATAGGCTTAGGAAAATCTTCATTTTGTGACAGCGACTTAAATTTGTTCGAAAAGTTGTTTTACTTTTGATCCTCTTATCAGATTTTTAGAAAATGTGTTCGACATAAGAATGAGGACAAGATACAGAAAATTTCATTCCTACCTTCTGAGAAATGCTGCACTGAGTTAAAATAACTTGCTTGGCGACTGTACCGTCCGTACACAAGAAAATTATCAATCCGTAGTGTGAACTCGCCGTATTATGGTACACGTGTGTCTCTTTATTCTGGGTATCTCTCTTCAACATTGGCTTACAGAGTCTGATGCACCATAGCTTATAACATGGCCTATACTCATCAATAGTTTTAACTAACTGGCTAACATCTTGAAACTAGACCCGACTGTTGGTGCTTCGAACTACAAACTTGGCAATGAATACGTGGCACTTGTGCCCTCGCGGTCTTATAGGCAGACTGCACTTGACCTCTGCGTCGTGACCATACTGGGCCTGGTGGACGGTCACTTCCGGCTGTACCTTATTAAGATGTGTTACCCTATTTATTTTTTCTAGATTTATTACTTTACTCGTGAACCTTTAACCTTGTATGAAAGGAATTAGACTTGTAAACTAGTATATTCTCGACGTTACAGCGACCATGGCTCTAAACTCTAATTAGCAGTCCCCGAAAAATGGGGTTACGGTCGAGGGTCACAACCCGCCTGATGTTTGTACTGAGAACACATACCCCTTCGAGAAATTACAGGGCACAATCACGTCACTCATGCATGAACACAATAATTCGTTGGCCTGCAACTTCTGAGATCATTTCGAGCTTGTATTATGAATGCAGTATTTAAACATGAGAAACGCCAATTCGCTCAGACTTATAAACGTTATGCAAACATTATATTCAATAGGCCCTCACATACAAGTCAGCAATACAAAGAAAACCCACCTGTTTTCATTGTTGAGCGTTTTGCGGTTTGTTCTCGTAGACAGAACTTATGTCCATCATTTGTTTCGATCACCATTGTTTGCCAATGGTTCGGTTTTCCAATTCGACATGCAATTGCGAGTGTGTGTAGGTCAGAAAAAAAAAATCGTCTTGGAAATGACACTTGGATTCCCAAGAGAGATATGCCATCATAGCTGCATATCTCGGCTCAGTTCCGAGTCTTTGCGCACCTAGCTCTTGAATGAAGATCGCCAAACACAGTACATCTTGATAGCACATTTCTATCGAGAAGTCATGGATCAAATCTGACCCTGTCAATTGCTCTGCTCAACTATATTGCCAGTTTCTCATTTTGCATGCTACCAAACCACTGTGGTCGGGGGAGGGGGCAACTCACAGAGTAAAATTAAGGATTTGTTTGACGATTAACATTTCATAAAGAAAATCCCACTCTACTTTTAGAAGATTAAGTTGATACTTCCATCACGTTGTTTTCTGTTTTTTAATTAGCCGACCAAGAACTATATGGTACATTCATGCATGAAGTTCAAGCACCCTTCATCTTTTCATCTTTTCCACATTTGAGGGGGTAATATAGTTAGGCCTCTTTGTTGATGAAGTCCGAACAGAGTAACATGACAATTAACCAGTCACAGTAATTGAATTTCACTTAAACGAATGCCTTATCAATTAAGGACCTCGAAAGGTTGCTCACGAGGTATCGTATCGCAATAACAAAATGGTAGGCCTATGTGTTAAAAATAATAGGCGTCAGCATATTGAACCATTCTGATGGTTGTGTTAGAATTGTCGGCACACAATACGCGTCTTAAAAAGTTGTGAAAATCGAGGAAAAAAATAACTAATGGAGCAATACGCCATTAAGGAGGTCCGCTCAAATTATTTGATTCAAGGACGCCAAGGCAACGAAGACAAACAGAGTGGAAACGGGAGTCCAAATGTGCTTTCCGAAACGTGTTCTTTCACAAAGACTTTACAATATATGTCTGGCTTATGACATAAATATCAACTTAAGCCCACAAATCTAGTGTTAGACCGTCATGCTGACACCATTTCAGCCATGTTCCCTGTATCCAACAACAGTACCGAATTATAATGTGTTTTTTTTTTGGGGGGGGGCGGGACAAAAAGGAACCAGACTATTTTTCCTTCCAGCCTCGCTTTGGTTACGTTGATTTGAATGGGAAAAAATCAAGATGGCAGCAACATGATTATGGCCTTTACAATCATCAATAAGATTAAATCCCTATACAAGCTGTAAGTCAAAGTTCTAAGTTTTTAAAGTAAACTTCCAATAAAGTTGGTAAAGTAAAGTAAAGTTCTTATAAAGTTTCAAATACGCAAGGTTTTAGGTACTCTATTAGGTAACGATCATAAAGTAATGTAACGTTCTAAGTAGTCTAATAATTAAAGTTTCTATAAAGTTATAAGTGCTATATTAATAACCGAATAACAAAGAAAATCTAGCCTAATGTAACGAACCTAAACGTAAATAATTATAAGATAAGCATTTAACTGTGTTTGATATACAGTATGTTCTAAAAGTATAAGCACCTATGCCTTTAACAAGAGCCAATCGAGAAAAATAAACAACATGCACCTTGAAGTTAATTACCAGCTACTTGTGTATGTAAATGACGTCATTAAAGGTATAGTCCATCATTTGTTATTTGTGCATTTTGTTCGTTTGAAGCAACAAAAGTGCTCAAAATCTAAAGAGTCGACGCGAGGGCACTCAATCGGTGCGTTTATTACAGGAAAATGATGGAAACTTCACATTTTCAAAGCCGAAATGACGGTAATTTTTTTTCAAGATGAAAAAAAATAATATATGTGTCATGAGAAAGAGAAAGAGTTAAAGTGTATGAAACCCTTTAACCCAATTAAAAAAGACCGCGCGGTTATCAAACTATGACTAAAAACGTCGGGAAAAGGGCCATTGTACATGAATTTTCGCCCGGAAACGAGCCCGCACAGAGGTTTGAGCTTAAGTGAACACAACAAATTCATATGCGTAACTGGTCCAAACGAATAAGAAAATAAAGCAATAATTTACGTTGAATTCAGCTCATAAACATGTGCATGTTGCCATAAACTTATTTGTATATTCATCCAATATTGAGCAATAATCGCTTTAACTAACTTATCTAAGTCAATCCACTAAAGTCTATAATATATCATAATTAACTTGATTAAACACCAACATCTCATAAAGTAATGTTACGTTCTAAGTAGTCTAATAATTAAAGTTTCTATAAAGTTATAAGTGCTATATTAATAACCGAATAACAAAGAAAATCTAGCCTAATGTAACGAACCTAAACGTAAATAATTATAAGATAAGCATTTAACTGTGTTTGATATACAGTATGTTTTAAAAGTATAAGCACCTTTGCCTTTAACAATAGTCAATCGAGAAAAATAAACAACATGCACCTTGAAGTTAATTACCAGCTACTTGTGTATGTAAATAACGTCATTAAAGGTATAGTCCATCATTTGTAATATGTGCATTTTGTTCGTTTGAAGCAACAAAAGTGCTCGAAATCTAAAGAAGGGTATTGAACATTTTTAACCTGATATGAAGTTTCAGCTCAGCTTCAGCTGTATATTCCGAGAAAAACAGCATTCTAGGAACTTAATTTCAAATCAAAAGTTGCTAAATCATGTTTTGAATTGGGCCTGAATTCAGCGTCCGAGACACGTTCTCAATGAGCCGATTGCAGCTGCGCGATGTTGCGCACTGATCCGACGAATTATAACAACCGCGCACCCTTGTAATTGTGTGTCGTGCCAATGCTTGCGCGCGCTTCGCTGCAAAACAAAACGAACTACTAATTTAAATTTCGTACGGTGCGACTTAAGAAGCACAGTTGGAAAGGCCTTCTTTTGTTGCTTTCTTCAAAATGACAGCTGTCCAGAAGGAATAATTTCACAGGGAGTTTAATCCTCTTACTATCTTTCAACCCAAGTATGTTAGTTTCATCAAGAATCACGCCAGTTACTTTTTGGATAGCTGCAAATGATAGACTCCAGCTTTAAAATACGTTCGTCCTTTCCGAAGAAATGTTATAAAGATATGTTTTGATACATGTATTTTCCTTATACCTAATTGTAATCATCGAGAAAAAAAAAGCACGCCTTCCTAAATACATGTACTTCAATTGTAATCATCGAAAAAAAAATAGGAGAACAACACTGTGGTATCTGGGCCAACAAGTCACGTCGTATCTTAATTTGCTTCAAAAGGTTGTGATGACCTTCTGTCTCCGCTTACAACAAAAGCCAGGCCGTCACGACTACAAGCACAGAAATACAGAAACCAAGAATGATAACATGCTGACGGGCGTCTTCTTTTGGGCCAATAGGTCTTGTCTTGGTAGGCTTCAGAACCCGCTCCCAAACCGTGTTGATGGCCTTCCGGGCTCCGTCATTCTTTCCAGGACCCTCCAGTCGATACTGGTATGGTACATGGGGTCCAAACAAGCACCGGAGAGTCAGCACAGGATCGGTGAAGAAGAGCTTCAGGAAATTTGGCTCGACTCCGATCTCAGACGCCACATTGATGCAGTATGCTACGGGATTGATGTAGCGGTGGGAAGGCAGAAAGGCTTCCTTCATCGCTTCGTCGGTTGCCTTCACCTCAGCTTCCATATCCGGTTGGGATGGCAGCTCAGCCAACCCTTTGAACACCCTCGGAGCCCAGCGAGCCTGCAGCTCCACACATGGGATGAACGCGCCAAAGGGTTTGATAGCTCCATTGACCGACAACGTGTTGTGCTGCATGCCTAGAGGAAACACCAACTTGTACAGCGGCAGGCGGCCATCTTTCATCTCCAGTGCTGGGCAGTCAACCTTAAAGGGCAGCGTGTCCTTGTAGCCGGTGGCCATGATGACGGCATCGATGTCCTCCTCGGTGGTACCGTCTCCAAACACCATGCCCGTCTTGGTAAATCTTGCGATGTTTGCCTTGATAATCACTGTGCCGTTTAGGATACAGCCCGGGAGATCCTCAGTAATAAGTGGCTCGCGGGCCGTAAGACCATGAGCCGGCATCAAAGAATTGTAGAACATCTCGAACTGACGCTTAATGGATTCCGTATGAAGAATCAAGTGTAGCTTCGCTGGGACCCTGAAGAATCTTCTGAAAAAATCAAGATCCCATGGCATACCGTAGTCTCCAATGCGACTTGTAATCCACGCGCCACGTTCGGTGCTCAGGTACACCTGTTGCGTAGATATAAAAAAAAAGAGACTAGTTAACCTCAAAATAACGATGATCATCGGCTCATGTTCAATATTGAGCATGATGAAATAAAGAATTCCTTTCCAGAAACGTAGACATTATTTTATTAAAAAGGTCGACTAAACCCTCAACAAGCAAATTGTTCGGTATGAAGTGTGTGAAAGTTTGACCTAATTTAAGATCTTACTCAAACATCTGAAGATTTACTGACGGCATTCCTACCTGTGATGCCAGACGGCTGATGTCTGTAGCTGCATCTGCTCCTGAATTCCCAATCCCAACCACAACCACTCGTTTGCCTTCGAATTCCTCCGGCCTCCGGAAAGCCTGGCTGTGAATAACCTTCCCCTGGAATCCCTCAAGGCCAGGAAACTCCGGGATGTTAGGGTTGTTGAGCATCCCAGTGCAGATCATCACAGTATCAAACTCCTGGCTAGTCTGTCTTGCCGCTCCCTCCGCTTGGGTAGTGACGACCCATCGCCCAGTAGACTCGTAGTCTGGCGCCTGGGCCAAGCGGGTCACTCTAGTCGAGAAGTGGATGTGCTTCTTGAGGCCAAACTTGTCGGCGTACATGTCCAGGTACCTCTTCATGTAGCTGTTGTGGAGAAAATTTGGCCACTCGTCAGGAAACAGGAAGTCGCTGAAGCTCATGCTCTCTTTGCTGGTGTTGGTGGTGGTCGACCTGTAGACCGAGGTCGTTACCTCGTGTTTGCTGTTTTCGCGATAGTTCCAAAGACCACCCAAGTCATCTGACCTCTCAAAGCAAGTTGGTTGAAGGCCTTCGTCAAGGCAGCACTTGACCGCAGCTAGGCCAGAAACCCCACAACCGATAACGGCAACTGTCTTACTGCTGTCTCCCATCTGTAAAGTCAACGAGTAGCATTTGGTCAGGTATGTTGACGAGAATAAGATTTGTTTTGTGTGTGAAGCAACACAATTGCTGTAAATCGTTATAAGAAGCAAGGTGCATAACAAGGTACGGTGTTACAGTTTCGGTTAAGTGGATACCATACGTTTTGAGGGATAGAAAAAAAGAGAGAAATCTTTGTTAACTTTGTTTTAGTTTTGTAAGTGGATTCCGTTGCCACTGCTTCCGAAAGTTGCCGTATCATTATGAATTGCATCTCTCCGTACAGTCCCTAATATACCCAGGGCATGATTCGTAATCAGCCGGTTAGTGGACATGGCGTCGAGGTCCCAGTGGGTGGGTAATCTTCGCAGTACTTAACGTTTTTCGTCAAATCGAAAAAAAAAAAACAAGAACAAGTGAACGCGTGCACACTGAAAACCTTCACGTCTTTTCTTTCTAACGACACCATTTCAAAGGCTACAATTTCACAGGGTATTAAAAAAAATACTCACAACTCTCCAAGGCGTTTGAAATACCCATCAAATTGAAGCCGATTTGTCTAATCTTTCACTTTCTGTTCAATTTTTGTTCCCTTATCTGATAACTTTTGGGAGAAAATTCCATCCAAAGATGATCACCCCTACATTGGTCTTGTGGCCCTTCGCCGTTTTGAAAAACGATGTCTGCGCTCCATTGCAAAATAAAGCAATTTAGGGCCCAAATTAATTTCATCCCAATTTCACGGAAATACGAGCTCGCAGTCTTTTTTTCACAAACCTTCAAGTTCATGGCCCACAAAATGCTCATGGCCTAGCAAAGAATTTGAGGGCGAACAAATTGTGATTCGTTGCTTTCTTTTTGCCATGCAAATTGACCGTGAATTATACTGATGAAGAGCATATCAATAATTGTGAGTAAAAACAATTGTAGCTCCCTATTTATCACCTGGAAGGGAACATTGACATTACTGGCTGCACTTCCATAGGTCTCACTTATTCCTAAAAACTCAGATTTTTAAGTAAACAAAATAAACATCTTAATCAACGAAAATCACTGCTTGCGAAAATCACTGCTTGCGTACATGCACTTGCATGTACATGTACTTGAACACCATGTACATGTGTGTCTAGTTCAGTGACGGCGTGAAGTTGTCGGTCTTTCTCTTATAGCGATTGGATACACGTAGGCCTACATCCGGCCAAATTACGATTTGTATACTAGTTTATCTGTAATAATAAAGAATTTTGGCCCCTGCACTTGAAGGTCTGTATTTGTAGAAGTGAATTAGGGTCCATGTCCCTGAATTTGGATTTCTGAACAAAACATTTGAATGGAATCTATATTGATATGGAGTGGAAAGGAATCTATTTGTTTTTGGTTTTTTTTCAAAATGGCGATGGGGTGATCATCGTTGGAGGGAAAAATCACATAAAATTCATAGGTCAACCCCCCCCCCCAAAAAAAAAGAAGATTTTTCCAAAAAGGTAAAGAGGATTAATTCAGCTTTCATTTGATGAATGTTTTGATCACCTGTGAGGGTTCAGAGTATGCTCCCCGATTTGTTTAAATTGGGGTATTTATCTTTTGTGCCTATGGGAATTTATGTATTGGTGTGTACGTGGATTGTTTACTTTCGTTTTGACGGGGACTTTACTGAATAAAGTCTTGTGACTGTACATAGAAATTTCTTTGAATAAAACTCGAGTCGTTCATTCATGTGCACTTGTTATGCAAAGCAGGGGCAGTGGTTCAAGGACATGTCGACATGCAGAAAATGTGCAAGAACGCGACTTGAATGCTTTTATGTGTTCACAATACAACGACGCTGTTTAGTTATTTCACTGTGTGACACAGTGAGATTTTTTAATCATAATGGCGTCAGCGATACTTGCTGGGGAGCTCTTGCGTACGACTTTCAAACTGTACTTTGGTACTGTTGTTTCCAGGACAATTGTGTGTACGGTAACCCGACGTACCCAGATTTTTAAAGACGAAATTGCCGACCTCAAACTTGTTAGTGCCATATTTGGCAACTATATGTGCGATATCAGTTTAATTAAACAAATGAACAGGTTAATTAAACATAGTACCATTGAAGTTACCTAAAAGTAAACATAACAGCATAGAAGACCGACAGACGAACATAAAATGTTACAAAATAAACCTATTTGTCTGGATAATTTTTGAGGGCGTTACCGGCAAGTTAACACAAACTTGGTGTCAAATAGATCATGGGAGTTACTTTTCTTTGACTTTTCATACAAGTTTACATAAACTTTAACTGTATGACCTGCAGTGGCGTAGCAAAGGGGGGGCGTGGGGGCGTGCTCCGTATTCAAATGATGTAGTATTCTTTTCGCAAGCAGTGATTTTCGTTGATTAAGATGTTTATTTTGTTTACTTAAAAATCTGAGTTTTTAGGAATAAGTGAGACCTATGGAAGTGCAGCCAGCAATGTCAATGTTCCCTTCCAGGTGATAAATAGGGACCTTCAATTTTTTTTATTACAATTATTGATTTGCTCTTCATCAGTATAATTCACGGTCAATTTGCATGGCAAAAAGAAAGCAACGAATTTCCTGTCAAAGAAATGTAGCCCAGTTGATTATATGGTGAGTTTTATTGGAAACTTATTTTGAGTATATCTTTTTGGGGTATAACTTTGGGGAAACTCACAAAATGGAAATTTTGGACATTTTATGCCACCATAGCGCCAGAATATGTTGGTAAAATGTCGCCAACATGCGAAGACTAGTGGATGTCTCACACTGCGCACGTGCAGCAAGTAACCCCAAGTGACTACACCGGCAATAGGCTATGAACATACGCGAGTCGTACTTGTGCACACAACTATTTACGTGTACACAAATGGTAACAATCGCAAACAAATCTAACTCGACTCCAGCGAAACAATAACGAGGAAAAAATGTCCCCAATAAAATAAAGATAGACCATTGCTATCATAAACTTACTGTCAGTATTCAGGTGGAACAGTCCGAGTCTTAACAAATGCTGAATATCCTGGGTGAAATGTAACCGTGTACCAGTAAACTTCGAAAACTTGCAATGCACGGGCGGCCTGCAAATTTTCTTTTCCCAAACGCCATCCGCACATGTGGTTGTTTAGCGCCCTCTACGATACTTTTATGATACGCACGCAGGTACGAATTCACGCTCTGATTGGTTGGATTTTGCGTGACCTGTGACCTGCGCGTCATCTCGATCATGACTCGGCAAGGTTTGAAACGGTCGTTAAGAGACTGATTCATTACTCTTTTATTCCAGTTTAGAGATGGTTTTCTTTTCGGTTGAAAAGCGTAACAATGTAGGAAAATCTGTAAAACCTACCTGTGTTGTAGATTGGCAATTCCCGTTACTTGCTCAGGCTCCATTTCGAATCACGAACGGTCGGATTGCATTATGCGATGCTCAAAATTTCGTCCACATGGTCCGCAACGAAACAGAAATCCAATGATCCGGTATGGAATGTGCGCATTTCTATAAGAAGATTTCGGATAGCATTTGCGCATATTGTCTAACTGCGGTCTTAAACAGCTGCAGCCAGATGCTTTATACAATGTACATAGGTCTTAGGCCACTTCCTTCACAATATTCTGTGAAGCTCATCAGAGTATCCCAGCGCCCTGTTTGCAGGGCGGGGGGGGGGGGGGGGGGGGGTACGAGCGAATATAATTATTTGTTTCCCCCTGGTTAGCAGTGCGACAGCTCAGTGAAAGAGGGTAGGATTTCGCACCGCGAGGTTGCGGGTTCGAATCTCTGTTTTGCACCCAATTTTTTTTTCCTTTTCTAACCTGATGCTTTTGAGGATTTTTTTTAAAAGGGAAATAAAGTCCAAATTTCATAATATTCAAATTCACTTTTTTTCAAATTTTATATTTTCTTCTCATGTTTTTATAAAATGGTTAATAATAATAATAATAATAATAACACGGTTTTTATATAGCGCATCACACCAAGGTCTCGATACGCTTCACAGGAAACAACAATTAAAAGCAATTAATGGAACAGGTAAGTTTAAAGGAGTGTTTTAAATTCATTTTCGGCATTGACAGTTCTAATATGGTGTGGGAGAGAGTTCCAAAGCGATGGTGATGCATGCATGAAGGAACGATGTCCATAAGTCTTAGTGCGAGTGACCGGTGTACTGAGCAGCAATGTTGAGCTAGAACGGAGGGTGCGTTGTGGCTGGTATACTTGAATAAGTTCACGGAGGTATGCTGGTGCTGAAGTTTCGAGGTTTGAGAATCAGGAATACAGTTAAGTCCAAAACGCCATAGCGTACACCCATATGTGGATGTTGTTTGGGAGAAAAAAATCCCCAGCTTTTACTGAGAAAAAAAATTGAGCCACTTAAAAAAATACCAATGTTTTATCCCCGATCCATCATCGTGGATACGGTATTTGTATTGGGCCTTTGTGTGTGACGTCAGGTGATCAACAATGAGGTCATGAACCAGAACCACACGCAATTGTGATCAATTCCATTAAATCTCGTAACAAATGGTCCGCCGGGTCAGGCACCGTTTGCTTGGAAAGTCTATACAAAAATCGAATACTGGTTTATTGTGTTGTAGCACGCAGGGATGCAATAAAAATTGTAAAGCTTGAACTCTCTTTGCGCTGAATATTTGGAAACAAAGCAAACACACCGACAGGTATCTTTTTAAAAATGCATTACAAACTCATATAGCCTGTTTATTACTAGTACAAATTTACTACAGGGTGGATAAAAAAAACCCCGAAACCGAGATATTTTTGCTTATTTGAACAGAAGTAGAGCCCATGTGAATCAAAGGGAGATATCGTACTTTTGCTTCCTAAGTACAGACCTATTGTGCAGCGAGACAAACTACGTGTGGTTGAATTCAAGCAGTGGTCCCCTGAAGCTTCAACCTGCTTACAAGAATGTTATGCATGCACGGATTGGTCTGTTTTCATTGATTCCGCACAGGATATTCATGAACTGACGGACACGGTGAGCTGCTACGTTCAGTTTTGCGAGGACACTTTAATTCCATCTAGAAAGGTGAAAATATTCCCTAACAACAAACCGTGGATCACAAAATACATTAAAGAGGTGATAAACAGGAAAAAAGGAGTATTTGGACGAGGAAATAAAGCTGAGCTGAAGGAAATACAGAAAGAACTAAAACGCACCATTCGCAACGAAAAGAGAGTTTATAAAGAAAAGGTTGAAGAACACTTCACGGACAATAACATGCAGCAAGTATGGAACGGTCTGCGTATGATGAGTTGCTACTCTAAGCCTAGCAAATCCCATCAGCTTCCTGCTGTAACAATTGACTATGCTAACGAGCTTAACTCATTCTATAACAGGTTTGACTGTCATGATTTTACCAGTAAGCATAGTGACCTTCAGAGTTCATTCAATATAGGAGCTAATTCTGACCCGTTTTTAACTGTTACTGAGGATGAGGTACATCGGCAATTTCTAGGGTTGAAACAGTCTAAGTCTGCTGGTCCAGACAGACTTTCTCCTCGCCTCCTCAAAAAGTGTGCTGATCAATTGTCATACATTTTTACTTTCATTTTTAATCTTTGTTTCACCACCCAATCAATTCCGAACATTTGGAAACGGTCATGTATTATTCCAGTTCCTAAAAAGTCAGTGGTCACGTGCAATAATGACCTTAGACCAATTGCGTTAACCTCCGTGGCAATGAAGATATGTGAGCGTTTTGTTTTGAATTATTTGAAACCATTGATTGCTGATTTTGTCGATCCATTGCAATTTGCTTATACCAAGGGACGTTGTACTGAGGATTCAATTTTGTTTTGTTTAGATAAACTTTATTCTCATTTAGAACGCACTAGGTTTGGAAACTCTGCTCGTATTATGTTTTTCGATTTTTCTTCGGCTTTCAATACCATGCAGCCCCACATTCTTGCACAGAAACTACTTGACATGTCAGTTGTGCCCCATACTGTTGTGAGATTCATTTTAAATTATCTGACTTGCCGTTCACAATTTGTGCGTCTTAATAATTCCACCCATTCTGATGTTATAGTTTCTAGTACTGGAGCTCCGCAAGGCACTGTTTTAGCACCGTTTCTGTTTACTGTGTACACAGCTGATATCCGCTCTACTGATGTGAGTTGTCCACTGGTAAAATATGCAGATGACACTGCCCTTATTGGTCTGATTCAAAAGAACAAAGAGTCCATTTACATGGAGCAAATTAGTCGGTTTGTCGAATACTGTAAACGTAACTTCCTTGCACTGAATCTCATAAAGACGAAAGAAATGTTGGTTGACTTCCGCAAAGCTTATAAGCTGGTGCCGGATCCAGTTATAATTGATGGACATGAAATAGAACGTGTTGCCGAGTATAAATATCTTGGAGTTGTTTTTGATGATAGGTTAGACTGGAGCAACCATGTGAGTCATGTAGGTAAAAGATTGAACTCAAGAACGTACTAGCTGTTTGAGGAAACTGAACTCATTTGATGTCAGGAAGGAAATCAAGACAATATTCTATAACTCGGTTATTTGTAGTGTATGGACCTATTGTTTGTTATGTTGGGCTGGAAATACCGATAAGAAAGTGAACAAATTAATTGACGATACCATCAAACGAGCTAGTAGGATACTCGGTGAGTGTTTGCCATCAGTGGACACGGTCTACAACCAACGGCTGCGTGACAAGCTACAACTGGTGTGGGGAGATGCTGGGCATCCGCTCCACAACCGATTTAAGGATAACATCATTCCACGCAGCGGAAGACTGAGACCAGTGGTTGCACACACAAACCGATATTCTTCATTTTTCACAGGCAGGGCCATTAAGTGTCATAATAATGATTTTACAAGATGATTTTTATCCAAAGGATTAATTTATTCTGGTATCTGAGAAGCAACGGGTTTTCACAGTTTTTGACATAATTTTTATACTTAGTCCTTTATTCTGGTTCTACTTTGGGAATGGGTTTGGCATTAATTTCACATGTGCTTTTTTACGCTCTAAAGTTTCTAGTGCTTTATACTGTGTGCAATTGTAATGTTTTGATGTGATTGTGTATTTATTTCCTGAATATTGTAGCGTATGTTGAATTTTTTATATTTTTAATGAGAGACGACAACATGTAATTTCCAGTTTTGGATTTTAATAAAGTTTATCTATCTATCTATCTATCTATCCTCTGTTAGGGTTGAATCTCCTCTTTAACATGACACCCTGATCATGTCATTACATTCATGGTTGACTGAGCAGAGACCAATTTTATGAAAGGGTCTATTTAGAGAATTGCGCCACTTTTCAACTGTGTTTTTTTGTGGTGTCATTTGTCACAGAGTGAAAGGATACATGGTTGCCAACCAAGGCAGGTGGGGGAAAAAAAGAGATGTCACCATGAAAAGTGGCGCAATTCTTTAAATAGACCCTTCCATGAAATTGGTCACTGCTCAGTCAACCTGACTGTAAGGACATGATCAGGGTGTCATTTTAAAGAGGAGATTCAACCCTAACAGAGGATATCTCCCTTTGATTCACCTGTGCCCTACTTCTGTTCCAATTAGCAATAATTTTTAGCAGTAATTTTTTTTAGGATTTTTTTTTTTATCTACCCTATATAGTGAGATATGAGCTTGGCATCCCAACTGAGAAGCCACACGAGTTTTATCCAGTTTGATTTGTATGTCACAAGTATCTGAGGTCATTTTCAAGGCATATTATTGATCAATTGTTGTTCATGCATTATGTTCGTTTCCGGTAGTAACACCATACACTCAAAATCCAAAGCAGAATGTTTAAAGGGAAGATACAACATTTGCAAACATCACAAAACGAAATGATCAAATTATCACAAAATATCATACTGGATTGTAAGGGAATGACAGTCTAAAGCATCCTGAAAATCATGGCTCCTGGTGTGCTCACATTTTCAAGAAAAATGGTATTTTTCCAACGCTGGTCGGCCGACCAGCGTTGGAGAAAACTGTTTTTTCCCTTCAAAAACTGCTCCTAATTTTTCATAATTAGTTATTCCGCGTTTTCTTTGCAATTGATTACACAACTGTGAAGGGGCACAAGACTGCTAGACTGATTCTCTGACCTTACAATTCCCC